GTGGAACCATGTCGGAGGGGAAACAAGTGGGAGGCTGTTTATCTCCATGAGGGGCCTCTGAGCTGCACTGCTGCCCAGGGAGGGGGTTAGGGTGCCCGGAGTTCCCAGGATTCCCAGCTGCTAGGCTAAGTGTCCCAGGTCGTTTCTGTCCAGCTGTGGGGTCCCTGTCCCTTTAAGTATTTCAAAAAGCACTCGCTTTTCTTTGTCCCAGGGGCACTGGCTGCGAGACCCGCTTACAGGTTTTACTGTTCCATTTCCCTAGTATCCAGCACCCCACGCTCTGTCTGCGCTCCGGTGCGTATGGCTAGGGCTGGGTGTTTGGCAGTCCTGGGCTCCCTCTCCCTCCCCGCTCTGACTCCTGTCCTCTCACCGGGAGCTAGGGTGAGAGGCACTCGGGTCCTGCCTGGCCACGGCTTTTATCTTACCACCTTCATGAGGCGCTGGGTTCTTGCAGGTGTAGATGTAACCTGGTTGTTGTCCTGTATCTTATGGTCTGTCTTTTAGGGATAGTTGTATTGGTTATATTTTCAAAAATATGTACGGTTTTGGGAGGCGATTTCCACTGCTCTACTCATGCCGTCATCTTGGCTCTGCCCCTCCCTCTTTTTGTCTTTATTTCCTCACCCCTTTACCCTTTAGCTTCACTTAAAAGTAGTATTCCCCAAACCCACCTGTGAATCACTATGCATCCAAATGGAAGGAAGAAGTAGCTGTAGCACTAGCTTGTTGGCCTTGATCAAGTTGCCTAATATCTCTGGGCCTCGCCTTCCTCACTTATGAAGTGAGGATGGCAGACTAGATGCCTTTTAAACTTCACTGAAGTATAGCTTAAAGGCTCACAAATCATAAATGTATTGGTTGATGAATTTTTACAAAGGACCAGCCCCCAGATCACGAAGTAGAATATCAGTACCCCAGAAACTCCCACAAAAATAACTTCTTTCAGTCCTATACCTTCATTTTGCCAGTTTGTCAACTTCTTACAAATGGAATTATACAGTATATACTATTGTATCTGGCTTCTTTCAGTCAATTGTTTGTAAGCTGCATTTACCATGCTATTCCTTCATTCTCCTTACTGTCTAACTTCACTGTGTGACCGCACCACTGTTGGTAGTCTTGTGAGTTATTTCTACGTTGCCTTTTACAAATAGCACCATTGTGGAGATTCTTGAATCCAACTTTCGATGAATACACACATGCATTTCTGTTCTGCTCTGGAGTGTAACCTGCTGGGTTATATGATGTCTGAATGTCCATCTTCTAGATGCCTTTTGGGGATCAGTCCTAATGGTAGAACCAAACACTGGCATGGAACACACACCCAGTAAATAGGTTTCCATCCTATCCAAAGATTCACTGCAAATAAGATTCAATTCTGGGGCTTCCAGAACTTTTCAGCTCAGTATTTTCTCCAGCCCAACCTCTAACAGGTAGCCACCACAAAAGAATACATACACACCCATACTCTCCAAAGCCTGCTTGTAAAGAAAACCAGGTGGCAGGTAATGCTTGCGATGGACCCCTTTCTATGGCCAGATGAGGCCCAGGGCCAGCCAAGGAAGTCTTTGGGGCTCTGGATAATATCCACTACACTGTGAGGCACTTCACAGCCAGAGCTATGAAGTGCATCTGTTAACAGATTAGTTCCTCTGAGCTTTTCTCACAAACTTTAAGCACCTGGTGGATGCTCAGTAAAAATTTCCATGAAAGGTTAGGGTAAAAGGACTCTGTAATATAATTCTGTAAGAGAAATTTATCTTTTAAGCAACTTAGCAAACAGGAAATATCGCCAAAGTAAGCACTTACCAATGCTATTTACAAAAGGAGCTTTGGAATGTCAATTTATGGTTCCGAGAAGTGGGTGGAGCTCTGAGAACTGTTTCTCACAGTATACTCTACAGACCAGCAGTAGCGTGAACATCAACCTAGAAGGTTGTTTAAAAACTGCAGATTCCAGGCCCACCCCAGAATCTGAATCTCTTGGGTGGGGTTTAGAAATTTGCATTTTAACAAACTCACAGGCAGTTCTTAGGCACTGACCCCATGATCTGTGTTGGATTACCCATTCAGAGGATCTCCATGCTTTGGGGGCCAGGAGCTTTGAAATGGAAAGATACAGTGATCCACTGATTTACCCACGTGCTTCCCAGCTGTTTCTGGGGAAAGGTCCAATTTCTTGTTTGCAGAACTCTTCAGTTCCTGGCCTCAAGTGGACCTGCCGGCTTTTGCTTTTTCCTGGGACACCATTGGCTGAATTAAATTGTCCACACAATTTTGCCTCTGTTGATGATAGTGCCTTCTCAGTTGCCCCTCTTGTTTGAGTCAGCCCTCTGTGGCTTTCTACATCACTCTGAATGCTTTCTGAAAACCTCCTTTGTTCTCGTCAGCCATCCACTTCAGAAGCAATGGTGTTATTCTGAGGCAGGGTTTGGGATGCCATATAGAATAAAGCTATGATTGTATTAAAAAGCAGAAAAGGATAAGCAGCCAACACAAACATGAATAAGGCACATGCTGTACCAGGGGAGAGAAAGAATTCTTCACTGTGACTCTGCTCTGAGGTCTGGGTGCTTATGTAAAGTCCTGGTAGGCTTGTCAGTGAGGTTTATAGGATTCCAGCTCGACAGACTTAAAAATTCTGAGGCCCAAGGCCCTCTTCTGAAAGGTGGCCAGCCTAAGGGCCTAAGATTTTCTATGGATGGGAGAAGGTCCCACGCTGTGTTTTTGAGTGCTGGTGGCATCTCCCCATGATCCCATGCACCTATATTCAGTGTTTTCATCCTCAGAACTCAGCCCTGTAAATCCAAGCTTCCTTTCACAAATCCTAACAAACACTACAACCTTCTGCTGATATAAAAACTTCACATGTCCTTACCGCCATGTAGCTCTGAAAACGTAGTGATTCACATACACTAGGATGCTCAATGTTATTTCAGTGACCATTTCCCACAAGGAATACTGAAATACAACAGGAAATGGTGAATGTAATGGATAGGCAGGACTGGGCTAAATTTGAATGGTGGAAACTTGATACTAAAATGTTTTCCATATAAATTCACTTTTAGTTTTGATGACTACCCACTGGATCATTGTGGCCAGATGCACTGACCAACAAGGAAACTGGAAAATACACTTTCATATGGACTCTTAGGAACTCTGGTGTTTTGTTTTTAGTGGGAGCACAGAAAAATAGTACTCTGATCCAAACATAGTAAATAGAGGGGTTTAGAGTAGAGCATGTTTAGCTATGAAAACTCTATGATTATCATTTTGTAAGAAGAGCAGAGAAAACCCAACAGAGAGGGGAAGGAACTAACATTTGTGGAGCCTATATTCCATGCCAGTGTTTTGCTAGGAACATTACATAGAGAATGCTATTTAATTCTCCCTGCCACCATGTAAGGTAAGTATTATTGTATTATTACCTGCTTCCTGTCTTCCTCCTTTTTAGGTTAGGAAACACATTCATTAGGGTTAGGTAACTTGCTCATGGTAACCCACACTTGTAGTGACTAAACAGGAATTCAAATGTGGGTGTCTCTTCACCCTTCCCTGGTGTCCTGAGGAGAAAGCTGTGTGGAGTCTTTAATAAAGATCTTATGTTAAGGTGGCCTTGTTAAGATAAATAACACCATTCAATAAGAAATATACCTGTTAGACATCTACTGAACACGTATTTCTAGTTATATTAATGCGATTTATTTTAATGTTAATCAGAACAGTTAATGGGGTCTGTAGTAGTTGTAAGAACCCTTGAACACAGAAATATTAATTTTACCCAACTGCAAGAGGACCAGACACTGGCATTCCTGCAAGGTAGTTGCAGTATTTAAAATTGTTCCCAGGGCCCTCTGAATCCTGTTCTCCTCAAACAAGGCAGAGCCATGTGGAGATAAAAGATGATAGCTTAAGGATGAAGGCCCCAAGAATTACACCACAGCAAGTAAGGGAAGGTCTTTGAAGCTCAAGGAAGTCTGGTATTTGGGGTCAGCTTCAAATCTCTACATTCTCCTCCAGCTTAAGTATCACTTGTTTCTAGATAAAAGGGTGGAGACCACAGCATATCCACTTCAATGTTGTCAGGTGAAACTGGACAAATCTTAAGTTTTAATAATAGGGAAGTGCTCCCTCATAATGAGCCACCCTACCCTTTAACTTAGCGAGTATCAATCTGTTCCTGCATGAATCCATACCTGATATTGACCTGGCACTAAGAAAAGAAGCTGTAGAAACAGGGAAGGTGGGAAAAGGTGAACCTCCACCCCAAAGCGACGAAGTCTAACGCCTTGACTATCTCTACTCTGCTAGCAAATAAGGCTGAGAATCCAGCTAAGCCAAAGGCCTGGAAAGACGCACAACTGCACAAAAAATGCGGTTCCTTCGGTCAGGGTGTGAGTTGAAAGGTCATGTGGCACCTGCAGCATTCCCTCACTTTATTTACTGACGCTCTACCTAAGTTTTCCCTCCGCAAGCGCAGCTGAACTGCAGACCCAATACGGCGGGGGTGGCGGTGTGCGAGTGAAGAGACCACACCGCTGCTTGGATTCCCTTTAGATTCCCCACCCGATGTTCTCCATCTCCTTTGGGCCTCATAGCCGTTTATGCTTTCCTCATATTCTTCGTAATTCCTTCCGTTCGGGGTTAGAGGCCAGAAGATCCCGACTCACGTGCGTGGCCGCCCGCGGGCGCACCAGGGAAGGCGGGTAAAGAGGCACAGGATCCTCCAACACCCCTTTCCCCCTCTGGTGTCCGTTAACATTGGTTCGGCGGCAGCACGTAGCACCCGCAGGGCGGCCCCTCGGGGGAGAGGGTGAGCGCCACGAGCCCAACGGCCCCAGGCTCCGGGCGCACTTCCGGCGGGCGGGCGGAGCTGCTCGCCGCTCCGCCCCTTCCCCTGCCTCCCGCCCCCTCCTGGGCGGCCGAGGCGCCGCGGGGGCGGGGCCGCGAGCGAGCTGGGCGGCGTGGCGGGGCGGGCTGGGCGCCGCGGCCCAGGTGCCAGCGGACCCGCGGCCGGCTCGGGCGCGGAGCAGCCCAGCCCAGTGCGGGCAGAGACCAGCCGGCCGGAGGCAGTGGCGGCGGTGGTTCCCAGTCCGGCCGGTGCCGGGCCTCCGACCGAGCCGCGGCCGAGCGGGGCCTCGGTCCGGGCGCTGGGGTGACCCGCAGAGGCGGACATCTGGAGGAAGCGGCGGCAGCGCGTGCCGAGCGGGGCGCGCCATGTCGGGAGGGCCCCCCAAGGCCCTGCCGTCCACGGGGCCCCACTCCCTGCTTGACATGCCGCACCCGCTGGCGGGCTCCAGCAGCGAGGAGGCCGTGGGCGGCGACAGCACTCCGAGCCCGGACCTGCTGATGGCCCGCAGCTTCGGCGACAAGGTGGGACGCGCGGGGCTGAGAGGCTTATTTAGCTCCCGCGGGGGATGATGGATCCGGAGCTCCCCCTGGGCACCGTGCTGCGCCCACCCAAGCGCCCCTTCCCGGGGACGTTCGTGTCCTCGTCAGCGAAGCCTTCGGAAAAGGCGTCTCCGCGCTTTCGCACCCGCAGGGTCCCAGCCCCAGGGGGAGAGCCACAGGGCACGGGCTTGCGGGCTGTGACTGGTCGCGAGCACCAGTGACAGCTGATGGGGAGGAGTTCCTGCCAGCGTGTTGGGGCCGGAGGTGGGGTGCTCTGCGCGGGTGCTGTGTCCTGGGATGGGGTCCCAAGTTCCTCCAGGTGCATCCCTGAAGGCCGAGCTGCCGAGTAACTTGTAGCTGCTCCAGCTTCCTGGGTCTGCAAAGCAGCAGGAGCTAATGGTTTTTCCGTGGTAGGACGGGGCAGCCTTGGTCTGATGCCAGAGTCATCGCCCCTCCTCCTGTCAGGCGGGGAGTGAGCTTTGTTTAGGTTTGCCTTAGCCCTGAGGAGTCACCTGACAGCAGACCCCCGCCGACGGCGGGAGCAGAGTCCCGTTGTGGTTTTCTTTTTGGGACTCCACTCACCTCTGACGGCCTCCCGCATTGTTCAGGTTTGGCCGATACTGATTTTGTGGTTGAGGAAAAGAAAGCTCGCCCTTTGACCTTCTTTGTGCAGAGCGAGGCATCTGATTATCATAGAGCAGCGTGATTCTCCTGCTTTGAGAGATGGCAGAGTCCAATAAAGGGGTAAGGGATGGCCTCTTCCCCTTAGCCTTTCTGCTGTGACCAGGATTTGAGCTGTGCCTGTATCAGCGCTACTGTAGCCATTTAGTCTCTAATTGCAAAAATTAGAATTGTTCTCAAAACCTGTGATCGGGATGCCCTACACCTAGTACAATACTCCACAAGTTAACTCCTTGTACCAATATTAAATGGAATCAAGGCTTTTCTTTCCCCCTTATATGGGAGGACATGTGGCACATGCCACATGTAGGTAAAAATGAGTATGCTGAGCACTCACAATAGCCCAAGAGGAGTACCAGATGAACCTTGCAGAGAGGGTTTGTGAAAGCAAAGAGAGGGTAAAGGGGGTGAAAGCATTAGGGGCAGGAAGACCTAACAGGCTAATGAAACCCATGCATTGAGTAGCCCGAGGTGTGTTGGTGGGCTCTTTGTAATTACTTATCTTTATAAATTATAAATATCTGCTGCTTAGAAATACTTTGTCCATATTGGACATTTAATAAGTAATTGAATGACTGAATAAATAACTTGTTGCTTTCTTATGCACAGAGAAATTGCCCCTGCATGCATGTAGGATAGGAACCCAGTGTAAACCTTCTGATTTCCCTCTTGGGTCTGGGTACGATAGTGAATTAATTAGCTATTGCTGTGTAACAATTTACTCCAAAATTTAGCACCTGACAGTACTGTCTGTGGGTCCATGGTGTTGGTTTTGACAAAGGTCTTTCTTTCATGAGGTTGCAGTCAAGCTGTTGAATAGGGCTGCGGTCATCTGAAGGCTGGACTGGGGAATGATCCCTTTCCAAACTCACTTGCTTGGCTGTTGGTAGGCCTTAGTTCCTCTCTGTGTGGCTGCTTGACATGGCAAGTAATTTCCCCTAGAGCAGACGATCAAAGAGGCCAAGAGATCCCAAGACTCAAGCCATAGTCTTGTATGATCTAATCTTGGAAGTGACATTACCTCTGCCATATTCTGCTCATCACACAGACCAACTCTGGTACAACATGGAAAAAGGAAAAAGGATATGACTCTCAGGAGGTAGCAATCATTGGGGCCATCTTGGAGGCTGGCTACCACAGATGGCTATTTTAAATATTTGCTTAATGATCCATTCTTAGAGGGGACCTGACTTAGAAGTGTGGGCATTTTACCAATAAGTACTGAGAAGACATATGATCTGAATCTCCAAGATCTTGGTGGTGGACAGAAAGTCAGGCCCAAGTCTAATTGCTATTGGCTTCCTTTATAGGGGCAGTTCTGTGACAGAGATAGTCCAGAAGCATTATTATTATTAAATATTTAATAAGGCTCATTACAGCACAGAGCATCAAAATGACATCACTCCCAGGGGCCTGATTTATAGTAAGCCACTGTTCCTTAGAGGCTGAGCAATGTAATTCCTTTCTCTGACTGGGAGTAACATTTTCCTTGAACTTTGGCATGTGTATATTTTCTAGTAACTCTAGAGAAATTTCTGTAGAGAGAAGCTAGCAAGCAACAGAGGTGAGTCAGGAGCAGTGAAAGGAAGCCTTCCCTTTGCCCTGCTTTCTCTTGCCCAGGCATGGGGGTCACTGGAGGGTAGATAGGAAACTTGAGTGCTATGGTCTGTCTTTAAAAAGTAGCCTGTTTTCTTGCCTTTTTGGACAATGGGGTTGTGATCCCAGACGCCTGATTCAGAGTCATTTCTGGGCTTGGAGAATGAGGTTTTGACAGGCTGCTTCTAGTGCAGGGTTATCACAGCACACAGAGAGGGGTAGCTTTCTATGTGGGCCTAGGATGTTGCCATGAATAGGGAAGCCTTGCATCTCGACCCAACAGATGCTGCTGAGTAGCCTTTGGGATGCACGAGTAGGAGAAAGTGACCAAATGTGATAATCTTTTCAGCCACTAACTACTAAAATCCAGACCGTGGTGCACTGGGAGAATCCTTTCTATCTACCAAGGGTTGCTAGGACTGATTCTTTTGATGCCAGCTAAGCTCCTCAAGCCTCCTATCACTACATCCCTCATGTCCACCTAAAATGTAAGTAAACCACTTGGCCCATCTCTTACTTTAATCTGCGAGCCACTCTGGGATGCTTCTCCCCTGGCTCAGCCTCCTGATCCTGTGTGCCTCTCAAGCCCCAGCTGTGGTGAACACCCCTTCCCACATCCTCGACCTGAACTATTCCACTTGCTTTCTGGCCCTCAGATCACTGCTTCTCATGAAATATTCAAAACGGAGGAATTTTCTCCTTTACTCCACTTACATGGGGATCGGGAGGTGGGGGGCAGTGCCTCTCTCTTGTGCCTTTTACAAACCAAGCTGTGCTCCTTTGAGGCTCATGTCATTTTATTCGTCCGCTCAGAAAATATCTGAGGGCCAACTATGAGCCAGGCACTGTTCTTGGAACTTGAGATGAATCAATTGGTTGAAGACCTCTGCCCTCATTGTGCACATTTTAGTGAGCATTTCTTTTGTTAAAAGGACATGAACTGAATGCAAACTGGCTGAAGAAAAAAGTATCTGGCTCATGTTGTTGAAAAGCTCCAGGTATTTTGGCTTCAGGAATGGCTGGAACTAGGTATTCAAACGATACTGGGAATCTGTCACTTTCCATCTCTTGGCTCTTTCTTCTGTGTTAGCTTTATTCTCAAGCTAGTGAAGGGATGTGTTCTACAAACAAGCCTCACAACTTCCCCAGAAAGAGAGCACCTCTTTCCTGATCCAGGAAAAGCTCCAGGCTGGTGTCTCAAGGGCCTTAATTGGGTCAGGTGCTGAAACCAATCTTTGTAACTCTGATTGCCCAGACCTGGGCCAGGTCCTTATCTTTGCAGGAGGGAGAAGGGAAGTTTTTTTATGTTTGTTTGAACTGTGCAAAATATATATATAAAGTATAAGATGTATATGCCGTTTAAAGAATAATAAAATGAGTGCTCATGTTCGTACTGCCCCGATTAAGACATAGAATAGTAGCAGTGTTTTGGAAGCCCCCTTGGTGCCTGGAGAGGAAGGAGGGGGTTTCTGAAGCAAAATCCGGGAGCTGCTGCTCATGGGAAGGACTGTTGGGCAGGCAGAGCAACAGGTGTCATTACGGACCTTCCACTACTGTTTCCTTCCCTGCCATTTTCTAACTTCCCTGCTTCTCACTCTTACTCATTAAAATCTTTCAACCCCAACTTAGTGTCTTCGCAAATCTTAGTGTCTTGCCCTCATCTCAGGGGACTTTGTCCAAATCGCCAAGATTCTCAGTTTCTTGACCTTATCTCCAGTCACCTTCACCTTTTTCTCAATGGAGCTGCCCTCTCCCTTGGCAACACCCTCACATTTATAACATCTAGAGCTGAAATCATGCTACCAGATACTGTCTTCTCTTGCCTTACCCCTCAGTCAGTAATAACTGACCACACCTGTTCCCTGACCGCTTGCATCCACCTGCCTCCTTTAGAGGCTGTGGCTCATCTGGTCATTGCTCCTGCCACTGTCCTTTGGCCAGGCCTCCCCTCTACATCCAACCTGGGTCATTCCATTTGTTCCTGTGTTTTGCCTACCCCTCCGGAGGGACGGCACTTTGAGAATCGTCGCCCAAGTAAACTCGCAGGTTCCACCCTCAGCTGTGGCCTCCATGGCGCTGGGCACGCCTCTCCACGGAGGCTCCCGTTCTGCACCTGGCTGAGCTGAAGCTGCTCTCTGTTCCTCACACCCTCTGCCGCTCTACTCCATCTTCCCGTTCTGCTGACGGCCTTACCTTCTACCTCGGAGCAGGTAGAGGCCACCTACCTTTCCCCAGACCACGAGATGGTCTGGATCCCCAGCCGTCCGTGCTTCCTTGACCCTGCAACAGTGGAGATCCTGCCCTGTCCGTCATCCTGACACATTCTTGTGTCTTCCGTCCCTCTCAGCTGGCTCATCCCCTCACTATTTGAACATGCTTGGGAGTAAAGGAAACTCTGCTGTCATGGTTTCTTCTCCATCTCATGTCCTATTCTGTGATGCCTCTTCACAGCCAAACTTTTTGAAAGAAAGGCCTGCTCCCCTTGCTTCTCCTTCTTAACCTCTGGCTTCCTCCTCAGCCCACTGCTCTCTGCTTTCTGACCTCACTGTTCAGGGTCCCTTGTGACTTCCTTATTGCTCCATCTTGGAGTTGCTTCTCAGCCCTTATCGTACCTGACCTCTTGGTGGGTAGCACTTGATCCTGTTGAGTCCCCTCCTCTTCAAAACACTCTTCACTTTGTGTTGGGGGTGCACGCTGGAGCCAGC